ATAGTTATGAGCATACTTTCTGTTTTGGTGAATTTTATCAAAGGTTATTATTATTGATTACAAGCAGATTATCTGATTGACTCAGTCGTTAAGTACTTGATGAAGATCCATAGTAATTTCACAAACTACACCTAATGATTTGTTCTTCAAAAACTTTATTTTCAAAAATATTACGGCATCAATTGCTATCACAGTAGCTTTCTCGTAGTAAAAACACACTAAAAGTTAATTCTCTACTCTGGTTTTGATTAGCAACTCATCAATAGGGAAAAAACTTTCCGAATCGTTCTTTTTTTCAGAATATTTTTCCTATTGATAAGTTGATAATCAAAACTTCAACATATTTTTCGACAATTTACAGAAGTGGTTTCATTTTTGAATAAACAATATATTGTAATTGCATATAGAACAGGTAATACTTTGATGAAGTTAGTTAAAAATAATAAAGACAAAACATCCAAATTCGAGAAATCAGGAGTATATAAATTGAATTGTGAAACTTGTCCAAAGGTATATATTGGTCAATCCGGCAGAACATTTAGTAATTGCATCCAGGAATATCATATGAACTGTATAAATAAAAAAATAAGTTCAACATATTCAAATCATTTTTCAGAAGAAAATCATATCTTTAACGTAGATTTTGAAATTTCACTTATAGAAAATTAAGCTAAATCATTCGAAAGCAATGGAAGTTAATAAACTTAAAGATTAAAACAGTTCAGTGAATGACCAACTGGATATAAATAGATCACCATTACTGAACTTGTTTTCTTAGAAACCGATGTTTCCAAGTCTTCGTAGACATATAATTATTAATGTGGAATTGATATAATATACTATAAAAAATTATGATTGAGTAAGTAGCTGAGTAGGTGATTATCACTGATGATTACGTGGAGTATGTGAAAATTAAAGTAAAGAATTACCTTTTAGTATGTTATGCACTACGAAAAAGCTACTGTGATAGCGAAATGTGTCGTGATATTTTTTAAAATAAAGTTTATGAAGATCAAAGGTGTAATTTTTGAATATAATTTCACTTTCATATCTGATCATTTCACCAGTAATCAAAATATTTGTTGCAAGTACTTCGCCAACTTGAAATACGAAATTAATCGTTACTTAAGGGTAACTTCCAATGAGTTTATGGTTGATCGAATACTGAAGGAACCGAGTTTCAACTGTACAGAAAGTAAGAGAATTTTTTTTTGACAAACAAAATTGGCGTTAGTCATGTAAATTATTCTTTATTCTTCATTGGACGTTAAATACGAATATCAATGAGTATCTTAACAACATAGTGTTTTTGCACTTCCAGCCTTTTTGTTGTTATAATGTTCATGTAACACTATATGAAATTACAACGTAATATTTTCAAATGTTTCTCAGAGGGATTCATCTGTGCATTGATTTACAAATTTTTATAATAATTCTAGAGATTCACTCACACACTGTTATTTAAAAATGTTCGGGGTCGCATTTATTTTAAGCGTTAAGGACGACGAATAGAATGATCACATAATTTTTGGTCAAACATTTTTTTGATAATCACGCACTACAACATCTGTTGAATGAAAAATCAACAAATATACCATACGATATCTGCACCACTGCAGTAATATCGTGGAAATATTTCAAGTACGTTAAATAATTTTATCAATATTCTAGAATTTATCTCCATTATTCATTCATACAGTAATTAATTGTTTACAGTACTCTCGAAAAAAGTTTCATAATGATTTTTTCTGAGATAAATCATAGAATCATTTGTTGAAACACACATGTGTTTTATCTTTCTTTATCAGAAATAATATGACCGTAATATCATAGATAATATTTTCAGTCATATGAGGTAGTAATCCCACACTGAAAAGTTCTTATTAGTCGTTCATAAATGATGAACTTTCTTTCAAAAGACTATCAGTAGACTAAGTATTGATAACACCATTAGAATACTTTCTCAACATACCCCAAATTTCTAGTTCCGATTTTTTTTGGATCTGACTGTAATACAACAAACGTTGTCATATTCCAATAAACTTCAACAACAAGAGTAAAATAATTGAAAACAGCAAAATCAAATTTAGTATTTATGTGTTCAGACATTTGAAGACATCAACAAAAATATCATTGAATACGCGTCAAAGAGTGAGTTACAGTTTTATGATGTGGAAGAAGATGGTAAAAATTCTAGGTGTAGGAACAATGGTAACAAAGAGAAACACCAACTTCATCCACATGGAGGATAATGAAATATTTTGTACAAATCAAGCGAAGGGTAAGATAAAGAATGATTCAGATGGATTAAAAGAAAAACGTAATAATTTCAGGTGAGTCGAGAGAAGAAGAAGAGCAGCGAAGGGAGGAAATATAACTGATGAAATTGTTGTAGGAACAGAAGTAAGAGAGAAATCCGCAGAGAGAATTAGAGAAGAAACTGCTTAAACGCCTCCTGTCAGTTATAGAAACTATACAAAGTGACAATCTTCAAAAAAGAATTTGAAGCTGATCAAAGCATGGCAGCCATAGTAAAGAAATATTCAATGATTATGATATTATTTTAATGAAAACCAACCTCAAAAAAAATTGGTAATGTAAGGTATCACGATTCGTTAAGATGACGTGTGCGATATCTCGTTTCAGGTTTGATAAGTTGAAATTGCGTTATTAGAACTGTTTTTTTGCAAATACCCGTACACCAACGAAATGAGCACCGCCCCGACTGTTATCAGCATATTTATTCGTTCTCAACCTTCTCCAGATTCATCGATTCCCTATCGAAGAGAAAGAGATAATGACACTGCTGAGAATAATAACTATTCACAACGGTTCTTCACTTCCAGTCATGGAATGGTCAGTAGGAATAAATGATACATCAATAACTATCTCTCTTATTTGAATAACAATTTATTGTGAGATTTTCATTGGAAAAATAATTTCGATAATGAGGAAAATGATAAATTCGTTTCTCTTACTAATTTGTGTATGAAACAAAACCGGTTCCAGGTAGAAGGTTGATTTTATGACAACAGGAGGGAACGGCTATGGGTTACCCCTTGTCTCCCTACCTGGCAAACCTGTTCATGAGCAGGTTCGAAATTGAAACGAAAGAAAAGTCTAAGTATTTTCCTAGGATATGGAAGGTATGTGGATGATGTTTTCGTGATATTCGATAACCAAAAATCGAATATTGAAGACTTTGTTTCCTTTTTAGATCATGTATTTCCATCAATAAAATTCACGTATGATTTAGAAAATAAAAGACAACTACTACTTCTTGACGTTTTGGTAATGAGGAGCCAATATGGAAGGCTAGAATACGATGTATTTAGAAAAGAAACAAGCACGCATAGGTATATTTCTGACTGTTCACATCACTGTGGACAGTACAAACGTGCTGGGGTGAATTTTCTAGTTCATTGTCTTTTGACTTCTCCTCTCACACATGAGAGGTTCACAAAAAAAAAACGTACAATACAGGAAATAGCAGCAACTAACGGTTTCTTGAAGTGTATTCTAGATGACATAATAAGGAAGAAGAAGTTTAGGTTGAGAATGAACGAAATCTCGACTTTTAAAAAGGACAAAAACCAAGATAAATATATCTCACACTACTGTGATGCAAAATATTATGGACAGACAAAAAGATCTATGATAATTGGATATACCACACTTGAAATATGGAAAACCTGAAAAATCAGCAGTCGCCCATCATATTTTACAATAGACTTCAGCTCATTAAGGTTAGTTAGACAAGTTAACAACAACGAGCATCTAGATGCCTATGAGAGTGTAGAAATAAGTAAACATAATAATATTATGAATAACGATGGTGGACCAATGCCTAATAGTATACCATATAGCATTACATAAGGACACATTGTAAAATTAATTTAAGACTAGTAGATAGGGCAATATTGTGAAATTAATTCAAGACACTTAAGACGCAGGTACCTAGAATATGTATCTACGGTATAAATAAGGATAGCTTTTATTTTTATCGTTGTTTTCCAATAAAATTTTAAAAGACAATTTCAAAATCAGATTATACCACAAAATTAGATGTATGATGAAAATATGTAATATATCACTGGAGAACACAGCTTTGTAAGTAAGATTAATTTGATCTTCCTCCTGAAGATGATCACTTGGTGATGAAAACACGTGTCGAGGTGTTGAAATAACGGTTTGGTATTGGGAAAAAACTCCAGTAATATTCATTACTACAGCAAAGGTTCCAAACAGTGCATCACAAGTAAATGACACTAGAAGAAAATAAAAACGAAAGTTACGATTTTCAGTTTTTTCCGGATATTTCCGGAATTACAAGTAACAGTATTTTGACAAGCACAAAAAAACGCAACTTTGCCCCAATTTGAGCTTCGACGTATCTCTTGTAGTTTAGGATATCCCAATGGTGGGGGTAGAATTTGAATTACCCTGTATAGTGAAAAGGCGTTGAAACCTCCCATTGCGAAGACGTGTCATGTATGGGATCGACGAGAGACTTTAATATTCGAGGATTGAGTCTTGTCTCGATCTCGTAAATGATGTCTATGTGAGAGATGTTATCACTTGTCATTCGATAACAGTTGTGTCCAATAAAATGAAATGATGATTCGGCCTTGAACCACTGTTGAGACCTGTAGCGGGTCGAAACAGAAATGATTTCTGATTTCTAATAGTAGATACATAGTACTTTGTCAGTGTATCGATATTTTGAGCCGTCAAAAGTTTGATTGAACATAAACAAATTGTAAAACAACCAATTCAATAATTGTGTTTCTTACTGAATTATTACATACCCATACATAATTTCATTATGGTTCAATTGAATATCTATTAATCGTTTGAAAAATCTAACTTTCATAATATTCAAATATTATTGAAATTCAAACTGAACTTTAGTATTTATATGCATTACTCAATGAGTGAAAAGAAAGAACAAATCATATGGTAATTTCACGTTGTCAGTATTCAAAATTATAAGTACTTACACTGAATCTCTTACCTCACTAACTTACTCCCCAAAATACACTGTTCTGGAATACACAACACAGAAAAATCCCTCAACACAACATTTATCTGAAAAGAACAATAATGTCGAACATCATTTTTCCATAATTGCCTATTATTAAGTAAAATATCTTTCAACTAAACAAAGACCTTATTAGTTATGTTGAGTAAACATTGTTTGTGAGATTAAGAACCATTGGGGCAGTGTGCAACTCATATCAATACTAAGTTGAATGTTGGTACAATTTCGACAATGGAAAGAGACGGGAAATATTGTTAATTTTATCTTGTTTATCTTACTAGTACAAGGACCGTAAAGTTACTGAATGAGCTTAGATATATTTTGAATGATTTATTGAAAATAAACTGGTTATCAAAACCCACTCCCAACTAGTCTCTTTGTCTTATTGGGCCACTAAAATCAGCGGGAGTGTAACAATTCCATGTTACTGTGGCACACAGCATTGAAAAACGCCAAAACGAAGCCAAGTCACCCAAATCGTGCGGGAAGTACGCGCAAACTCGCCATTACAGAAAGTTTGTGAAAAATCAGCACTATAAACGACATGGCAGTTGCTACGTCAAAAAGAGTACTTCGACAACGCCACTGAAGATGACTGTTGCAGTTGAAACGTTTGGAGATTATAACGAAAGAAGACCATGACAAAACCCGAAAACCAATCAAAACAAAAGGTAATAGTTAAAAAACTTTTTTTCAACAGTCTTTCACTCACATGTTCCGAAAAAAAGAAAATATATTCAAATCAAACAAAATTTTATGTCTTATGAATTGTGTAATGTAATTACACTTTGACTTAATATGAAGTTTATTTTGTTTTACAGCATGTAACTTAAAACCTGAATGACGGCCATCTTGTTTTTCGACATTTTGAATTAATTTTCCTTCGAACATTCAAAGTGATATCATGTTATTTTTGTATCCCCTTTACTAAACCTTTTCATTTGACACTCATATCACGGGTGTTCATAAAAATAAACTAGTCCGTCATCTTGGGCGTCCGCTATATTGAGAGTGAAGTCTTTTTATTTTTCGTATTTTTTCAGCCAAACCTTCCATTTGGTATACTCGAAGTAACTGATATAGTAATTCTTAAAGCTATCGGCGAACTCAAAGGCCAAAAAACCCAATACAAAGAAATAATGCCGCTACGAATTACTCCACGTGGACTGAAGAACTGGCGGTTCATATTGGATAATTTTCACTAACCGAGTTTTATGATTGGCTGAAATTGAATTTGAAGTCATGCTACGGTGACCAATAGAATGTAGCGATGAGCACCGCCGTTGTGTCGTCAATGTTCATTTCAGGAACTGATCGCGATTTGAGTGTTGAAATTCGATATTGGTAAAGTTATAATTACTTAAAAGATTTGTTATTTGTTTAAAATGTGGCGTCCTTGGGCAAGGACTAATAGTAATAACGAGTGTGATAACAACGCAGACTTTTTCCTGTATAGTGATTCCAATCGCTGGTGAACAATGCGAAAAAGAGATACCAGTGAATAAGATTCGGATGCATTTGAATATTGAAACACAGAGAGTATGTTTCATTGTATATAAGAATCTACATATCAAGTTTGGTGTCGAGGGAAAAAAACTATTACAAGCAACATCAGATGTGACCGAAATTCCTTTCTCAACTGTACTTAAAATAGTCAAAAACAAACCTTATAAACGAAAGACGCGATGTGATGTGGGATTACCAAAACCTTTAGATGTTTATCTAATAAAATCATTTAAAAAAAAAACAATATACGACTGTTACAAAAGCAATGAGATTCCTACAATTGAAATATAAGGAAGAATCTCAATACTTCCGGCCATAACGTGAGCTGCTGTGAGCTGCTGTTTCTTTATCCAGAATTGGATAAAGAAACTAGGATTTAGATTTAAAAAATAAACAAACGTCAAGCAGTTATGAAAATCAGAAGAATAGTGGAATTGCCTAACGAATACTTAGAACAAATAACTAAATATAGACAAGAACAACGGCAAATTTTCTATTTGGACGAAACTTGGTATGACACTCATGACACAGTTACAAAAGGGTGGACTGAGGGTTCGAAAATGTGTATGCCTAACATGCCTGCAAACAAAGGATCGCGACTAATCATTGTGCATTGCGGAAGAAGTAAAGGAAGGGTTCCAAATTCTTTGAAATTATGTGGAAAAAATCTTGAGGACTGCAATGTTGAATATCATAAGAACATGGAAGCTAATATTTTTAAGTAATGGTTTGAAAACACATTGGTCCCAAATTTGGATGCAAATAGTGTAATAGTTTTTGATAACGCTTCCTATCATTCGGGACAGCTCATCAAAGTACCGAATAAAAATTCGAGGAAAAATGAAATACAAAGTTTTTTGATGGTTAACAATTTGTATTTTGAAAATAACTATACCAAAAACCAACTGCTTGAAGTATTACAGACAAAAATATTTGAAAAAGTGTATGCCCTTGAGAGTATTGCTGAAAAGTATGGAAAATTTTTATTCCCAAGTATTCATTTTTCATCTTAATTCGCTGCATTTTGTGAGTACTGTAAAATCAATAAACGGTTAAACAGAAAACTCTGGCATAGAATAAATCCAAAACAAGCACTTTTACCCATCACTTGAAATGCGATGAGCGTTCCACCAACCAAGTTGGTATCTTCATGAGATGAAAACTGAAGATATTCACTTGGTTAGTGAAACGCGCTTCAAGAGTATTGCATTTCTGGTGATTGGGAAAAGGGATTGTTTTGGATTTACTGTAAAATCATCAAAATACATTTTTCCACACATCATCCTAAATTATTAGTTTTAGGAACTTTATGTTTATTGAAGAAGAATTTCAACTCGTGAACTAGGATGATTCACTACATAAGACGAGCAAAATATATACGGGGACTACAATTTGACTCGTCAAAAGCGATCTTGAAGTCATAGGTAGTAATTTTTTCAGAGAATGCAACAATGGCGCATTGAACGAAATGTTCAATGTGAATCGCTACTTTCGCACAGGCACCGCTCTGAGAGCGCCTTAAGGATTTTCCCGTAGTACTTGTGTTTTGTCCTTCAAAAAATTGCTAAAAAATATTTTTTTAAATAGTAAAAAACGTTTTCAACAACAAACCTCCATTTAACATGCTCAAAAAAAAATTCAAATCCATCAAATTGTTATATTACACAATTTATATGTTACGAAAGCTTGTCCGAAATAAATAAGAATTCAAAATGTTACTTGATCTTGACATA